TCGGCCTCCCAAAGTGCTGGGATTACAGGCATGAGTCACAGTAACCGGCTGAGCTTTTTTATTAATTAAACACCTCAAAATTTAATCAAGTTGATGAATGAATAAACTGTAGTACATCCCAACAATGCAATGTTACTCAGTGATAAAAAGAAATGAGCTATCTGGCCATAACAAGACATGGAGGAAATGTAAATACATATTAATAACAGAAAAAAGCCAGTCTAAATAGCCAGTCTGTATGATTTCAACTCTATGACACTATGGGTAAAGCAAAATTAGGGAGAAAATAAAAGGTTCAGAGGTGGGTGGGAGGGCAGAGATAAATAAACAGAGTAAAAATATTTTAGGGCAGTGAAACTTCTCTGAAAGATACTATAATGGTGGACACATCATTATACACCTGTCCAAACTCATAGAATGTACAACAAAAAGAGAACCCTAATGTATATTATAGAGATTGGATAGTAATGAGATGTCAATGTAGTTTAACCAATTGTAACTAATGTACTACTTTGGTGGGGAATGTTGGTAGTGGGGAAGAATATGCATGTGTAGTGGGTAATAACTTTATAAACAAAAGTAGAATTAATGTGAAACAGAGAGAGATATTTGATATAAGCAAGGCTTTAGTAAAGAAAATGAAGGAAAGATGTAAAGCAGTGTTCAATCTCTGTACGGTCTCAATTTTGTTGTGAGCCTCAAACTTTTTAAAAAAGAATAGTCTTTAAAAAATTAAGTCCTGTTCTACAATTTTCTTTTTATTGGGTAATAATAATAAAAGATCTTTGACATTTTATCTTCTTCTTCAGTGCACTCTATAAATCATGGCAAAAGAACACATTTTACCCCTCATATTTGGCTGTTATTGGACTTCAGGAAGAGTTGATTAGTTCTTCAATGTATAGATTGAATATATGCCCATATTTCTTTTACATAAACTTTAAGCTATTTAAATGTAAAACTATGACACAATTAAATATGTGATATAGCTTTAATATTCAGTTAATATTTCATGGAAAGAAAATACATGATACAGCTTTAAACATTCAGTTATCCATATTTCATGTAATAAATACATGATACAGCTTTAAATGTTCAGTTAACAATATTTCATGAAAAGAAAATGGAAAATATTACTTATTTTTTCAAACAAAAATAATTTAGTACAGTAGCATATTCCTTCAAAAACATGGTGCTAAATACAAATTATATGTGTACGTTCATGCTCAATTTATACATTACATACAGAAAAGACAAAATTATGTGATCCTTACATTCTCAATTGTTTGTGTTCAATATGCTGAAAGCTGATAATTAAACACTGTGTACCTTAGTTGTGTAAGTATAAATGATCATGCCTTGTTCTAAATAAAGTGAAGATCTATAATATATTTGACTTTCTTTCAAATAAATGTCAGAGCATGTTCTTTTATTTCTTTTTTGTTTTGTTCTGAATTTTTCTATAAAAGAGTTAAATCAAGCTGATTAAATCATTTCGGTACCACAGGGGGAAACGTTGGAAAAGAGGATTAGCTCATCAGCAAGATGAGTTAGGTCACAGCTTATCCGACCATAATTCAAGAGCTGTGTTCTCCAAGTCTGAAAATTATGGTCATGTCAAGGGTCAGCACCAAATGTTTTTTATCATAAGTTGGAACTGCTTATTCCTGCAGCTGTCTGAGCTTTAGTTGACTAGTTTCAATTATTCGGGTCATTTTTTTTTTTTT